ATCAACAGTTTGTGATTTAATGCTTTGCACAATTTTACAACACAGAATGCCAAAATATTATTTTGAAAATTATAGAGTTCCTGAAGATTTAGATCAGGCACAATATCTTGCTCTGGTTGATGTATTTTACTATGAAATGTTAAGCTCTGAAACTAGGTTGAGTGTAATTCCTGTATTCGTCACCCAGAATTATCTCAATACTCCATTTGAATTGTTAAAGTATGGTTTAGAAATGAGTTTTGACATTCTCTATAATCAACTATCCACACATAAAAAGATTGGTCTTGTTGAGAAACTGATAGCCACCTATCTCAATCAAGACTTCACTCCAGAACATGTAGAAACCATTCATTCCCTTTCCTCTCTCGAACGAAAAGATTTGAAAGCAAACAAATACACATCAGTCAGTATTGAAAAGGAGAGTCTGAAATTTACAGTTGTTTGTTTGGAAACTGTTACAACAATTCAAGAGAAAAAGGAACAATCGATCACACTGAATGATATCAGTGATAAGAGAGTGAAAATCGTGACAATCAAACTCATGGAATACACCCTTCAATTGCCAAACCTATTCAATGGAAATACTGTTGGAAGTATTAAAATATCAACCAAAAATCTTTCCTCTGCCACCAACAATGGTCAACCAACACAGCCAACAGTTCAACCAAATCAACCAGCCAACCCACAAAAATCAAATTGTTCATTGCTTTAACCTACTGAAGTACCAAAAGAAACTAAATTGATTGAACCACAGCGTTTTATTAATAATTAATTATAATTTTCCTGCAATTTGATTTGATAAGTATCAAGTCTTTGAACTCTGCTGAACTCTGCAATGATTCGATTACTCTTTACAACCACCAGTTGTGAGTGGATTTGTGTCAATACAATTTGTGGTTGCAAATCACTAAACAAGTTTGCGCGAGGATTTCGACTTGCCACACAACATGATTCACGAAAAAAATCTGGTAATGTTTTATTACGTTTACAATACGAATCTATTCAGATTCCTGCTTCAAAGACGTGAAGTCAATGATCTCCAATTGTAAACAGTTCGCAGGAAGCAGCGCTTCTTTCACAGATACATCATTATTTAAAATGAAGGGGACTTTTGTAGAGACATTGGAGTTATCGCCTAGCCTTCAAGCTTGATTTGGAACGAAACTAAACCTTTTGATTATCCATAAATAGGAATACACTTAATAAAGATGTTATAAGAGTTAACCAGGAAGTCTTCTATGTGCCTGCTCAACGACACCGAGCGGAATGGATGGAACATTCTGTCTTATGCTAATAATTAATTCTTCACCAATATCAACGAACCAATGTGTTTTCGTTTACAATACATCAAA